ATATGAAAGTTGGGTTGCTCGTCTTGTTCGAAAGTAGTCCATTGATGAAACTTTATGATTGGATATTTAGTTTGATTCATTTAATTATTAGATAACGACATTATTACGTTTTAATGCTCATCAGTATCAGCTAGGATAGTTCAGCAGACGATTTCCAGTAATAAGAGAATTATACAGTGGTTGTGTAAATGGAAGTGAGTCTAGGTTTTGATGACATTTTGAACTATAATAGCGCAAACAAGTCTTTGTGGATACGTGGAGTGTATGATTTGAAACATAGAACGGTGCTTTAGTAATTTTGTGGAGGAATTTAGATTACTGTTTGAATACAGTTAAATGTTTGAGGGCTTGGCTGATTACCAAACAAATTAAACTAACTAAAAATAAAACACATAATTGTAAAACCAATACATTCCCGGCTTCAGAAATTCGAAATAAAAATATATAAACACAGAATGTATAAGTATAATATATACTATAATAGTAATACATTATCCTATTATGCTATTTATAATAACAGTGAAAAAATTATTTGTGTCTGTTTAGTAGACATTAGACAACAATAATAACCGTTACAAATTGCAACTATGTTTCTGATTTTTGGAATTTTTAAAGATATTTTAATATAATTAGATTTTTAAAATGAAATACGTGTTATGTAATAATACATACTCCAATAATTATGATGCATTGACGTATTTATTGCAACTTCTAAAAATAAAATAAATAATAAAAAAACATGAAGTCGTTTTTTTTAAATTGGAGACTGGAGTCTAATCTGACCATCAAAAAGGCTTCATCTTTCAAAAATAAAACACACTCAAAAATCTATGACTATTAGGCGTCTGCGAGAACTTTTCCTGCAGCGAGGCAATTATTTGTACTATTACACTTCGGCCCGACATTCGTGAGTAGATGATTTTTTGAATATGCGTTGATGACTTGATGTAGAATATAGATAATGATCTAAATCTAAATTCTATCTAATATATTCTAAGCATTATTCAAATGCAACATGTATCACGGAGGAGGAGTTATCATAGTCCTTAATAATGGTTTTACATAAATTATAAAATAGATATACGACATGCCTATACCTAGTACCTACCTACTTGCTGATTACAATTTATAAAAATTGTTTTTGTTTTAATTTTCATATGATTCTTGGTCTTTTTCGTCTCTCGGTTTTCGCCATCCAATCCCGCAGACGGTTGACATATAACATAACCTATTTGAACGCATTATAATATTATGTGATATTATTTTCGACCGTGGCCATCCAAATCCGTGGGCGTGCTGGTCTATTATCGTGAACCACCGCGGATAGGGGTCGGCGAGGGGGTGATGTGTACACAGTCGTATTATTTTGTGACCGCGACGACCTCCACCGCGGCGGCTGATCTGTTACATATATTTATATATATATATAACGTAGGACCGTATATAATTAATACACATCGTCACCCTGTCGTCTGCGGTGGCGTAGTCGCAACGATGACGACGACGACGTAAATGAAGTCGGTGCGGCCGTAAATTTAATAAACGCGCGATCTGGGACGGCGGCGGTGGCGACGACGACGACGACGGCGATGAGGTATTAGTAGCGCCACGAGGCCCACCCGGAAGCCGTCGCCGACGCCACGCGCTAGTCATAAACATCGCGACCTGACGCCCTTACCGGCGGCGTGTGCGTGCGCGATCTCGGCCTTCGGGTCTGTAGCGCGTGCGAATCAATCGCACATAATATTATGAAAAACCTCCGCACACGACACGGTGAGGCGTCGTATGTATAGTCGTCGTTTTTATGGTTTATACGTACGTATACATAAAGTAATGGTGGTCGCAAACTGCACACGAGGAACCGTTTCCGTCGGATCCCTTTAGTCTTCTTTATTATAATGATTCGTGCGTTAAATACGAAACACATCAATAATGTATATATATATGTATATGCCACCACGAAATCGATGCGATAATACAATTATATTACCCGGTGATATTATGCGTATTATATCCGGGTGGTTTAGTGCAGGCGGTCGTGGCCGTGCGCGTCCAACCACCCCCAACCACACTCACCGTGCCAATTTCAATTTGATTTTTGTTTTTTTTTTTCCAACGATTTCTTACCGCATTTGAACCCCATCGAGCTTATAGCGATCTAAGCGTAGACCCGGTGGGTTCGAATCGCTCCGCTTTTTCTCATTCATTTATATCATACCCCTCCGTCCCAGAACCGTATTTTGGCGATGGTGTTGCGTAATGAAAATCGAGTTTTATAAAATGAGGTAGATATGTAGCTAAATAGTTATACGTATAGGTAATATCTTAGTCCCTACATCGGTAGTGTAATGATATGAATAAATTATTATAGATACACGAATATCAAAAGTGCCGTCTGTCACTTATAACTTATAAGATAAATAGTAGGTAAGCTATTTTAACTTTGACCGCAATATATATTTTATTGATTGTACTACACTACAATAGTCACTAGATAGTGGGAGGTTACAGATGAAGTTTTTGTTTGGACATATCATTTTTTTTCACCATCAATAGTTACCAAAAATATGAAAATATAAAAGCTATACCAGCACGATACAGAACTATATTATAACGTCACGCAAATCGCAATCAATATTTTTAAGTTATATGTAATTGCCAATAGGTACGGTTCATGTTTGATTTTTAAAATAAACAAGAGCATTACACCAATATTGGATATTTGGATACCAATTTTGGATACTAGTTAAAATCGTTAAAAACTGAAATCGGTATCGTAATTTAAAACAAAATTGAATAAAATCAATACCAGTAAACAAAACAGAAATTGAAATCGGAAATTATAAAAACCTATATTCAAAACCAAAAACGATATCTGAAAAAATAAATACCGATATCCAAAATCGAAATCTGAAAAAATGTTTTCGGTTTCAACTGTTTCAAGCCATGAAAAAAGACCCCAAAGTAGTACCTATAGGGTGAACTTCACAGACCAGGATGCTGTGGAAAGCCATGGATATTATTATTTACATTTTATAACATATATATACATGATCGAGCCGGATGTTATAGTCATATTTGAGAGGGCCACACAAAGCGGGCAGGACGAAAGTGAATTTTTTAATATGACGTAAATAATATGTATAGTATACATACATATTTTTTACATGAAAAAAATAACAAAACAAAACAATAATTCGGGCAAAATGCAGTTGGTGTGCGCTGGTTAGCGGGAGGGAGTGTATTCACCAGCCTCTGCCCTCTGGTGACATCACGCGCGCTGTGCGAGGCCGAAGTCCACAGGCCGAACATCGATTTGTGCCAAACTGTCGCAAATGTTTGCCCCCCATGTACAGCTGGCATTATATTATTAATCTTCATTATGATAAAATATAGTAAGCCAGAAATGGGCAGATCAAGAATGAACCATGATCTTATGGCCGTACATCATTTGCGCATCGTCTGTTTACCTGTGCCAAAATATCGTACATCATTTGCGCATCAGCGCTAATTATCGTTTGAGCATTGTCCGTTTTACCTGCACCAAATTATTATACATCAAATGCGCATCAACATGCTGAACAATAGAATTGTATAAAAAATAGTTTTTCATTGAAAATGTAATGATTTTCATAAATCATATGTAATAAACAAACCCATATAATTAAAATAAATTGAATAAATCTTCAATGTTCATCAATTTTTATTGAGGCATAACAATTTTTTTATCTTAGTTATGTTATTGCTAACTATAATGATAATCCTACACAATATTATCTCAATATTCTCAGCTTATCGGCCCATTAAGTGCCATCGCTGCTATCACAAAATCTCTCCATTTCTCTCTACCATATGCGTCGTCAAACATATTTTAAAACAGAAATATCTGTACAATATTTGAAAGTTGATGAATGAATTTCAAGATCAAAGTTAGAAAACAACTAACACTTTTGGGTGTACACCTTTTTTAAAATTCTATTGTTAAATAATATTGATGCGCAAATGATGTAAGACCTTTTAAACGGCTGATGCGCAAATGATATATAACCCAAAAATCGAACGATGCGCAAATGTCTTACAAAAAAGGTCTAAATTAACAATAGCGATGCGCAAATGACAACCGGCGTTGAACTTTGAACAAAATATGTGCCCGGCCCCTCTAATCACTAAACGATAGAGATTCGATCGTTAGTTTTTATCTCTTTAAAAGTATTAAGTATAACATTTAGATCAATATTTCAACAAGTTTGGTCTACAGTCATACAGTAGTAAGATTAATATTTTTGAATCCAATATTTTGATGTATACCTGACGTTGTTTGATATTTTGGTATTCGTCTTTTTAAAACTTAATCTGAAAATAAATTCAGAAAATCATTCTCTATAAATATTCAGTTCGACATATTTTCTTCTATTTATAGGTAAATATTAAATCAACAATTTTATTTTTTTATAAAAATAATTATTGGTACCGTTACTTGAGTTTAATAAACACGTTTTAGTTGTCAACACTACATTTAAGATTATCTAGTATTGTATATAATTTATTAATGCCAGATACAATAGATTTGCTAAATTGATCAACCATCAGTGCACTTTGAAATTCTTATAATTTAAGTCATTGGAACTAGGGCTGATTTCTGAGATTTAATTATTAATTTTTTATTCTTAAATTATTATTATTATTATTATTATTACTACATGTCTTCATATTTTTTTAGTTGATACTTATTTAAATAGATACCTAGAAGATTATACATTATTATTTTTTGTAGTATGTACCAATATGGTGTAGTAATGTAGTTTCGAGGAATACAGTTTCAATCTATTACAGCTAATGGCCTCAGTTGCTGAAGCTTAAAAAAAAGTTTCCATCTATTGTAGTTTTTAAAAAAAAATTATTATTTATTCCGGAAACCGATTTTTGGATTTTTGTTTAAAAAAAAATGCACCCAAGTCGTTATAAACTATCTACGTATATGCTTTTTTATTTCTACTCACTTTTCATAATCTTGACGGCAGTATAGTTTTGCGTTCCACACAAAACACGACCGATCGAGCTTCAACCCACATGTCGTGCATTTAAGGCACCGTTCGTGGTAAGATCGACTGGACACACGCATAATATACCTATCTGCAATTGTGCACTCACAATTAGCACACACTGTAGACACACCCACCGGCTCTGACGGATCGTCTCCATAAATTGGTTCCATTTTCAGTTTGAATACGCCTAAAGCTGTCTTCATCTCGATTCCTTTGAAAAACATACAAAAAACACTAATGTATAAATGTACAACAGCAATAAGTAATAACTAATAGAATATCTTCAGTTAAGGAAATTTACCGCAACTGAGTAAAGGTAAGTGAGTTACTTAAACCTATTTAATCATACGAATGAATATTATATTCATCGACAAATTAAATTTTTTTAATTAGAAAATGTTCAGCCATAATAATTACTTTCCGCGTAATGTGTATTTGTTAACGATGTAGAATAAAAACAGTAATAGACGAGCATCTATTGATGCGTTTTTAACTAAGAAATATAAAATCATGACATAACTTAAAGAAGTTCTCATCTTATGAGTAACTCAACTTGTAATACTAAAGTACCTAATAATAAATGCACTTAAAATGTCTTCGAATTTAAAATATCATACAAGAATTTTATTTTCTATAATTTAAAATCAAATTCATTACTGAAACATTTCTAATAAAGAAAACATTAAATATATTATAATTCTAATATGTTGTACCTTTAGACAATTAATAATTTTGAAACTGGTAACTACTTCACATAATTTATATTTACTATAATATTTACTTTAATAAGTACAAGTTATGTCAGTTACAATAGTTATATTTTATTTTATAGTATAGTATATAGTATAGTAAAGTTATACGTAGTTATATATTTATCCAAATTATACAGTGTACCTTATGTAGTCGTTATCTTGGTTTTTTTAATGATTATGGATCGATAATATAGGTTTTAAAAAATACAAAAAAAGAATTGTTTCTTTATTTTTAACTTGCAATTTTCTTATCACGATTTCAACATTTTTTAGCACACAGTTGTAACAGCAAAATCAACTCAATTTTTTCAAATGGTAACAACTATATTTTTAATTGATTCTTATATTTTCTGAACATTTCAATGGTCAGATTATCAATTTTGGTCCCCTAGTTTCTCAACTATACGGTCATCTAAAGTTTAGTAGTCATTAATACCACAGATTAAATAAAACAGTTTTATGTAATTTATGTTAATGCTTTTAATTGAAATAATTAGTATATTTCTTACGATATAGGTAGCATACAATTGAATTTTTTTAGGTAACCAAGGTATTATAATTATTATAATAATATCGGAAATCCGTAGTTAACTAAAATTAATTTTTTTTTATTTGTATTATTATTTTAATATTTATATATTTTAAATATGTTAGAGGTATGATGAATAGATTAGTTATACACTAAGTACCTATACTTAAATAAAACTATTGTCAAAAAGGTCAAAAATCTATAAAATAAAGTCTGAATTGCGCATTTGATACATCATAGTTTAGAATTCGAATGTATCCAATGGTTTTGGTTCGAGCTAACGATAATGATAAAATATTTTATTGTGTTGATGATCATCGTCATTGTAATAGAAAATATATTCAACTATGTTGGAACACACGTGCATAATGCATATACGATACACGTGCAGCGGTCTCCCTATGTAATCCTTTAATTCAGATGTCTACCCCTTGCAAATATATGTGACTTTATTAAATCCACGCCTGCCTGTAGGCGATATAGATGATGAGTTACCCTTCAGATGATGATTGACATTTATTAAGTCTTTGAAAACAAATTATTGAGTTCAATACAATTATTAATAATTATTCCTATAATAGATCATAAAATATCCAATAGGTAATAATAAAATATATAACAAATCAAATGAATTTCAATATTATTCTGATGATATTATCTAACATTTACATTTTATTAACTGCAGTTCAGTCTTGTGAACTCTGGATATTAATATTAGATAACTGTTATTACAATATTACTAATTAGTGTTTATATTAGGTTCTTCAGGTTCTTGGTAAACATGGCAACACGTAAAGTCAAGCCCACTTTCCAGCACCTCTTATTCACTAACGAATATTAATACTTCATGGTTAATATGAATTATTTCTAATGGTATAGATGATATTTCAGATATTTGTCTTTTTTGATTGAGTACGCCTATACTTTTAGGGCTTTAGCCATAGAACATACACTATAGAAATATTGATTTACGTTGAAACATTCTATATGCAAATATATCACATTCTCTTATAACTATAACTATATATAAGTAATGCTTTACTGATTCGATATGTTACTGTTTGAATTTAAAAATATATAGATTATAGGTGTATTTCAGACCTTGCATTGGCATATTTTATTGTGTTCAAATATTTTAATTAGTTATGATGAAATAAGTAACATAGTATAATATTCTAATATTATTTAATGTACCTAATTTACAAGTTTATATAGTCTATTACATTTTAATTACTTAAATCTTAAATCCAAAACTTATACCTGTCTGTTGAATATGTATTTTTCCTTAAATGTTTGACTTACTATTTGTTGCTAGGGCTGGAATTTTGATGCAATGTCATTTTTTTCCTGATGTACCAATACGTAGGTCCATAAGCGTTTCAGGTGATACTGATTATTTTAATATAGTTTTTACTTTTGCTTTTTTTGACAAATTTGACTTAAGATGCATTTTTGGGGCATTTTTCAAGTTAATAGAGAATTTTCCATAATTTATCTAAGTATGAACTCTTAATTATTAGACGATCTGACCTCGCTAAAATGTAATAAGCATGCAAACTCATTATATCTTATTTTATCTTGTGATTACAGGTATTTTTTTTGAATATAGTACGAGCATATCGGCCATGCACCTATTTTATCAGATAGTGTCAAATGTGTCATATAAATATGTATAAATTAAGACTGTTGAAAGAAGTTTTTTGTTTACAGAAGTCCATTATCCAACGATTATAAACAGCAATTTATAAAATGAGTTAAATTCTAATAAAATTTAACAAAAAGGTACCTATTTTATTATTTTATTATGATTTATGATATAAAACGAAATAGTAGTATGATTTTTGAACTGATGTTTCAGAATGTTTAATGCATTTTTAAAATTTTTTTTAACATTAAGATCCCTCCCTGATTTATTATACTTCAGCTACCTAACAGGTATTCATTTTTAATTTTATCTTGTATATTTTAATATGTTCTTTAAAACCATAAATAAGGTATAGGTATAGGTAATCAATTATTTGGTGCAATAGTATAGGTACTTTTATTGTACATCTATATATTCTATATACGATTTACATACTAATATACTATTTATGTAGCTAATAACAACTATTAAGGTTATAGCCTATATGATATGTAACTATTAATTATTATTACCTACATCATAATATTTTTTTATTTCATTTGAATAACTAACAAATAAAAATTGAAAAATTGAAACTTTATTCAAAATGTTTTCAATTATTAATCTAGGTCCTAGTACATATTATTTTTATTTTCCTAATACTTACCGGAGCTTGATATGATTTATAGACCCCCCCCCATCTTAATTAATCCCTAGGTAACTATCTCTTTGGTTAGTATAATATCATTGATAAAATACAGAATTCGGATAGGTACCTATAATCTATATATTTAACTTACAGTGCAGGGGTCTACTGTACCTATAGCAACGAAGTATTGGTCAGTGACTGCAGAAAGTAATCATTTATAAGCATTATATCTACACACTACAGTTACCTATATACCTACCAAAGTTAAATAAGTTTATCAATAGCCAACGCACTCCGACAGGCTATATTGAAAATTGTATAATAAGCCTCCTTATAAAGATAACTATAATAATATGTTATATATTGTGATAACTATATAGTTGCTAATAGCTATATTATGTTTTTGAGTTTCCAGTCTTATTTCGGTCATTTCGTGAGCATATGTCGATGGCCTGAACTCTGTGCCCTAATATTTTACTCATAAGTAAGCAGTGACCATCTCTACTACCTAACCTATACCTACTATAATATTTATAACCCGCACATCCCTAAACGGCCTGAACACGTTGCTTTATTTTCCACGCTCTACCCCCCTTAACGCACTGACACACACGCACACCGGTATACAATTATAGGTGTGGGTTCAGGGTTGTACGTATGCCTATGCACGTAGACGTATAGTGTTCATAACGTTTTGATTATGCGCTTACCTTTTGTTCGGCGCGTCATCCGCAGTGCAGACGTCGGCGGCGGAGGTGGCGCGACGATGTAAACAAACGAAAGCCGGTATCAAATAGTGGGCATTATAACATGTTAACGGGGACAGAGAGCAGACGTACGCTGTACGATTGCAAAATGTACCGCGGTATAACGGAGCACGACTCGACGCGGCCGATGCACACGCGGGGTGCAAAGGGATTTCCGTGCGTGACTCCGGCGTGCGGGGCGTGTCCGATCCGAATGACGGGGAGGAGCCGAATTATTTTGGAACGCGGCCGCTGGAAAGGAAAACTGCAGATGCGGAAAACACGTCCGGTCTTGGCGCGGCACCTCCGCGTCGTCGTCCTTCTCCTTCGCGGCTGCACCTCCCCCCCCCCACCCCCCACGTAACCAACCCTACCCCACCCGCTGACGACCATCGTGACAAGTGACCCTTAAGGCTTGAACACGAGGGAAAGAAAATATCCAAGTGCGGACGAGATACTGTATAGACACTGCTACAGCGCCTTGCAAGGCGGAATCGCCTGTATATTAAATATACATATATATTGGTATAATATTTTCCTCATCGGCGGCTCAAATCTTCCTCTGTTGTAAATATAGGTATATACATCATCATATTTGGGTACTTAGATTTATGTATAATTATAAATTTAAAAAATGTATTAATAAAAATAATCTAGTAGGTACCTGCACAGCTCTTTCATAACTAATAAGAGTAACACGAAACACTAAATTTCAGTGAACACTTATTGATTCCTTTTTTAACAATGTGTCAGAAGTTAAAATTGCCAATTTTATCAAATAATATATTTGTAAATCAGAAAGATATTTTTGTAGAATGAACACTTTAGTTGTTTCAATTGGTTTTTTATAGGTGTTATTTTATTTTTGGAATTTATTCTACATTTTTGTATTGACCTTACTTTCTAGACAAATCCACCGATCACCATGAGGCGTCTTCGAGTCCAAAATAATAAGCATACCTTTTTAAAAAATTTCGTAGTTGTATATCTTGAGCTGAGCGATGAATATAATGATTTTTAGAAGTGTGTGTGTTTATTTTTGTAATGGTGATGTGTAATTCGACTATTTATAGCTATAAGACATTTTCGATTTTTTAAATTTTTTTATCAATTATTGTCGATAAAAAAAATTGTACTCATCCAAAAAGCTTAGAAGTTTAATAGCATTGAGTATATATTATACAATATATACGCACTCAAATACTTACTCAATGTTAATAGATACAAGGTTCCTCATAGGTAGTAAATATAGGTATCTAAATAATATAGATATAAACACAGATCAATAGATTAATATTATTTCATATAATCTGTGATTTAAACTTGTTATTTTTATAATCACTTGAAATTTGATCGAAATTCAATGATTAAATGAAAAATAACGATCTCAGTTATTTTGTTGCACTTAATTCAAAAATATTTTTCCAAGGGTTTTGAAACTTTTAGTATACCTAGTATATCTATTACTTATTAGTAGGTATCTAACCTATTATTAAATTTTATAATTTATACAGGTACGAGGTACACACTACATAATGATATTTTCAAAACATTTGATTCATATTAATATGCTATTGCCTATTTTTAGTTTATACCGTATTTACTGTATATAAAAGTCTATAAACAGCTTTATAGTCCCGTTATCGAATAATTCCACTAATGAACACATTTTTTCCCAAATTTATTTCTGAACTTTCCTCACTAATTAATCCCGTCATTTCCCTCCAGCCGTATTACACAATCAATCCATTCCATAGTTCATTTCTTCTCTATCTCATTAGCCTAAATACCAACTATGTCATATTCACTGATAACTATTTCTGTTTATTTCAATTTCACTATTATGTATTTAATATTAAGCACTGTATTATAATCGTTAAGCCGTAATAGTTTTATATTCGGAGCGGAAAAAAAACAGTAAAACAGTAAAACAAATTACTTATGTAATAATTAATAGCAATATATAATTATATGTGTACAGTAGAGGTAGGTACCAGGTACACTTAATTAATAATTATTATATTGTATAATATTTTATTTTTTATTGAACCTGCGGCAACTTAAGCCCTCGGGTGATGGTTAAAAGACTGTTTTTTTACTGTAAGAGGGATACGATTGGTTCAGAGCACGTGTATGTGGGGCGAGGATTTGTCACTAAAAAGCCGAGTGGTCATCCATCCGGAACTAGTGACGACGGCCAATACCTGACCTCGGCACATATCAGTGACTGATGAGTGATGACTGTGGCCAACCACCGAGTCAAATAAAATTATTCCAATTTATATTACGTGCCCCATTCACTTGGGTGCAAGTCCGTTTTGTATAAAATAAAATAAATTAAATGATAGCTTTCGATTTCTCCACTCAAAATCGTTTTTTGTATGCTTATGATTTATCATTGAATTCAAATTTAGGATTTGAATGAGTATTGAATGTCTTGTGTGTTTTTTTGTAGGTGATCACTGATCATAGTAAGATTATTTAAGGTTGGAATGCAAATGTCTTTATGAAGTGATTAATTGGTTATATATCAGGGGGCACCTGATATTAAGCATAAACATATAGACTGGAATGCCAGAGTTGTTCTGGTATTTGACGGTTTGGCAGAACCCAAAGTATTTGTTATATAAGAATTATTGAAATGGAATAAATGTACATAATATTGTCTATTATATCGATAGGACATAGCTAAATTATAGATGGTGATTTGTGAACTATGAAATGTATAGTACCACATTTTAATAAAAAGGTAACACATGCCATTTATAAGAAAAAAAAAGATTTATACAAAATTATTTTTATGGGACTTAATATTAGAACACTGCTGTTGGGAGATAATTCGTTTTTTTATTGAAAGTAGAATATATATTTAACAATGCGTATTTTAAATTAAAAACAACTAAAAAGTAGCTGTACAACCAGACTTCTCAGTTCACACCAAACAAATAAAAGTATAAACTGCGGAGCCATAAGCAATGTAGATGTATTTCAGTTGTAGTATAGGTACCTCATTTCATTGGAAAAACGGTATCGGTGTAGATACCTTGCTTTATTAATTGATTAAGCTGAGATGGACAACCTATCTGTGACAGATTAGATTAGATACTAGATATACTTCCGAACATGATTAAAATTACTCTCTACACTCTCACAGTATCTCTCAGAAAAATCCCTGAAACGCTTGTTAAAATAGGTTGAACAGTTGTTGAATATTGTATGTTTTACAAACATACATATTTATTTATCCATATAAATGGATGTTTGTCTCACTGTCTGTCTGTTTGGTAGCTAGACTCAATAACTACTGGGCTGTTTTATCTGTTTTCAATAAAAGTTATATCAAGATTCATTAATAATTGGAGGCTTATTTTATAAGCAGCTATACCATAGTCTATAACGTCTATAGAAGCTGCCTTGAAAGCAGCTCATACATGCCATTTTTTCAGTTCCCCAAAAAAAATATTTTCTTTGTTTATTTAAAGGGTTTCCAATGGTTAAGTAGTTGCTCTAAAATAAATAGCAAGGCATGGATGCTTTTAGTGACACTACTTCAAAAAATATAAGGATACAAACTCACTAATCAGGGTTTCATTTAAGGTAAGTAGGTAGTTTCGTGGAAGAATGCAAAAGCAGTTCCCACGGTGCTGTCGGTTCACACATGAAAAAAAAAATAGGTAGTTGAATACTAAGATACCGATTGACTTTATTTTAACATGGGCCAAAGTTCAGGTTTATCTTCATAATTCCTAATACTCAAAAAAGTAAGTAAAAATTCATCCTAAATTTGTACCTACAACAAAGATCATGCAAACCAATCATCTAATTAAATTATATTAAATACTTTAAATACTTAGTATATAATATCAAGTATAATGCATGTTATTTAAAACTTAAGTTAATAGGACACTAAAATAAAATAATAGCATGTGTTATACATTCATAAAACAATGGTAATTGCAATTTATAAAAATATTTTATTGTGAAAACATACAAAAATAAAAGTATACAGTTGAAGTAGATCTAATTGAATAAATGTAACAAATATGATATTCATAAAAATAAATAAATATCTAAGTATACAGAAAGTGTGTATGAATAGTAAATATGTGTATATGTAGTAAAATAGGTACTTTGGATACAACAACCAGCAGTGAATAATGCGATCAAAAGGTATACATTAATTAAACATAGTTAAATTGTGTTATGTGTACTTTATTTAACATGTGTACCAGTCCTTAATTGTCTTGTCATTCCAGACATAGCGGCCTTTAACATTTTGTTCACCTGCAGGCAACAGAGACAGATAGACTGGAGCTTCGGCCCCCTGTTCAATGGTTAACGGTCCCTTGTGACTGGTCATGTCGGTGTCCACGTAACCAGGGTGGACACTGTTGATCACAATGTCTGTCCTAGGGTCAACATCAAATGCTCTCTGTTGTATAAATGTTAGTGCACTAACACCAACTTTGGACACACAGTACGCTGACGATGGCCATCCAGACTTTTCGTGATCACCGCTCTTGGCTTTTTCCACAAACTGCCGCATCAGAGTGTCCAGCTCGTCGATGGTCAACAGAGACGAAGACAGTGTTCGCCTGAGCTCTTCGCCCGGAATTACTGACAGTCGGCCGGCAGAGCTGGACAAATTTACAACGCGAGCACCAGGCAGTAGCAAAGGAAACAGAGCATCGCACACAGTCCGCAGTGCAAAGTAATTGACCCGGATTGTTTCTTCAGCCTGTACGCCAAACGGATCGGTGGCAGCCGCCTTGAAGGCGATCGCAGCATTGTTGACCAGCACGTCAATGCCCGTATATTTGTCGGCCACAAACTTGGCAAAGGCGGCGACGCTAACGATGTCGGTCACGTCCAGCTGGTGGAACTTAGGCTTCAGTCCCAACTCGTTCAGCCGCCCGACCGCAGCCTCTCCCCTGCCGACGTCACGGGCTGTCAGGTAAACATCGCCGTCGAATTTCTCACACAGAGCTTTAACGATGGCGTAGCCGATGCCTTTGTTGCCGCCTGTCACTATTGCCAGTTTGCTAGTCGCCATATCTGAGAAGTATCGTCAGTTTTTTACTTACTTCTCTATGAGCTGGGTAGCCGGTTGTTTCCGAGAGTGCGATGCCTTTGGTGGTCGGTGTTATCACTTGCACGGCCAATACAGTCGAATAACGAATGAAGTCCTCAATTTATTGAATTACGTTTATATACCTACCTAATGTAATTAGTAATTACTAATTACTAATTGTTGTAGGACGTCACAACGTAAGTCGTATTTAGATAACAGGTACGTACGTGCAAGGCGAGTCCTATACAATTAGTTATTTTTTTATAGGTACCTATCATAATTAGATAATCAATATTTTGTTTATTATGTATAATAGTTTACTATGTTTGTAATCAATAATCCTATATTCCTCGTATTTTTTTTTATCAAAATTCAAAATAGGTATGACATAATAATAATATTATGTTTTTGTGTTTTGCTTGTGTCTATGACTTATATCACGGGGAGACATAAGTAGGGGATAGCAAAAACCAGTGGTGGACAAACTGTGTGCATTTAATCACACGACATAAAGCCACGCGATGACGACAAAAGGTCACTCTATAATTACTCATAAGACACGATCATCCTTAGATCAGTTAGATCACACCACGGCTATAAAATAGATGATACTATCCTTAATCGTGGATCATACTATGCTTTATTGTAAATTGTTATACGATCTAAATCCTAGGCCATCATCGTAAACTGACAAAAAAGTAAAAACGATTGTTCCACAATAGTACAATATCACAGTACTGACACTACCAACAATAACCGTATATTTATGTACGAAAATCGTATACTAATCCTAAACCTCATACCTACGTCTTAGTACTTACAACTAAGTGTATAAGGCCTTTGATACTAATGAATCGTCAAAAGCAGCTCGACAAAATATGCCCATCAAATAACCTATATAAATAATAAAATATTTTGTACAATAATTACAAATATTGAACTATACCAATTTTACCAATATAGGTAATAATTGAGTATAAAAAACATAAAAAATATTATAATTTAATAACTTATTTAACTTCAACCATTAGGATAAAAATAGAGTTACATTGTTTGAATACATTTATTTTATGTGTGAGTGTGAGAACATGCTGGCAGCCAAAAAACAATACTTCGAGTTGGGGACGGGTTATAACCACGATGGTGTATATTACAACTAATTTACAAGTAGGCACCTATGTATAATTATTAATAATGTGATTTGTTGATAAAAAAGAAAGTTGACATGTAGGTACATCCGACATCGTACATCTTTAGAACATCTGAACATTATATAGCCAATGCCCAATAGTCAATACTCATGATTGAATCTTAGAGGTATCTATAGTCTATAGACCATAGGTAGGTACATTTTAAAGTTGGACATATTATTATACCTATGCATCGAGTTCCATGAGTCATGGCAGCTTATTTTTGTTTATACAAATATAAATAAAACATTTACCCACGCAGTGACGTGGTTTAGTAATTATAATTTATAATTTTGTTCTGGAGGGGTATATAATTTGTTGGATAAAAACAAAATGAAGTCCTTCGGCTCCAACACCCTTCTTCCTCTTAGGGGTTTTATTTTTTTAAAGTAATTCAGTAACTACATACTTACATTTTACATGAAATTGTATTAACATCAATTGATTAATATTTTCTAAAATAAAATATAGTTTTCAGTAATGTATTCGACGGACTGAAGATCATAGAACTTGCAGTGAGATTACTGATTCAATTTATCATATGGTAGTAACCATAAAGCGAGTTTGTAATTTTGTTTTTAAAAATTGGAAACTAGTAATTTAATTTTAAAAAATAGGACCTGGTCAGTATAGCAGCTCCAGTCCATAATTTAAAAAAATACTGTTTAAAATTATGCATTGATATAGAGGGGAAATCCATAGGCGGAAATCCATTATAATTTCCGCGCGTAGGGGCTAACATTTTTATATCAATGTGAGCTGAGAGGGCTTCAATTCCTCACAACTAAAAAGCTGTCTATTTTTTGGGGGTGATAATGGAATATTTGGGAGCTAGAGCTACCCCCTCCTCAATTTCAGCCCATAAAGATGCCTATAAGAATTAGGTATACCTATAACCTAACCTATAGGTGTGTAACACCTCGTGAAAAGTAGTTACTAGTTGCGAACCTACCGATGCTTCCAATAATTATGGTTGTATTTTTTTCCCCCAATGATTGAGCAATATTAATATTTAAATATCTTTTTAGGGAATTTTCAACTTATGCGTATTAAATATTTATTAAAAAACAGGTGTGATAAACATTTAAAATTAATAATGATCTCATCAGGTTACATTGCACCATTGTGGTACCTGCTATAAAAAAAAAAATATAGGTATAATCATTTACGATAAACTATTGCTCCTTAAGTGCTTGTATAAGTTCTCACATAGTACCTACCACTTAACCCAGTGGGCAGTGGTGCCCAACCTTTTTTCTTGCCACCAAGACACCAACTATATTAATACGAATAGTCACAATCAGTATTCAGATGCGTATATTAAAAATTTCTTATGGTTTTGGGGTGGGTGGGGGGAGGCACAAACAAAAATTCAAATTATACATAGTTAAATCTTATATTTTTCATCTCAAAATAATATCATAATTCATAATATATAACCAAATAACCAAAATTCAAGTGCTTGTTAGAAACATAACATTTAATTAGTGAAAGATGTTCACTCACAGTAGCAAAAATGTATAAAATACCATGCACCGGCGGGAGGATGGGTACCCGGCCATGTCACAATTGCTTATACATACATATATACCTATTAAGTACATCAATCTTTTGACTTTTAATGGTTACTAAAAATATTACACATTGACATTGGGCTGTGTATACTCTGTTATGAATTTACAAGTTGTAGTAATATATAGTTATTTAATTGGATCAGTACCTATGCTCCTGAATTCTTGATAGTGCGCTCTACTGTCTAGTAAGTTGAAATTAAATTGTAAAATTTCAATTGGACAATGTCTGATAGAAAAAAAATATATTATGTTTATTGTTATTATTTATTTTATATTTTTTTATTTAAAAAATAGCATGTTGGGTACTAAATATTTTTTCTCTTTCATGAAAATTGAGGAGGAATCATATAGAGTTTTTGGGTATAGTTCAGATGTAAAGTATCGAATACTATCTAGTTACATATTTCTTAGAATTATTATGATTATCGTATTTTTGAAATTCACAAATTAATATAAATATTGTATTTGAAATAATTAAAATATTAATTTTTAATTTATATATTTATAAAGGGTCACACAGAATATCTTTGTGGGCAAGCTGTAGGCATTGGGCATCACTGACCTAACCTAACCTTTTCTTGTCATTAAATGTATCTCAGGAACAATAAGGTCCCCATTGAGATAATAAAAAAAAACTTATAATTTATTACTTAATATGAATTTAATGCCAAAGTAAAATGTAAAAAGTATCCAATATTTTCATAATTCTAGTGAAGTTATTTTAAATGTATTAATATTTATTTATTTGTTAAAGAATTATATTTTGTTGGTTTCTTATTTAATTTGTGAATGACATATGTGGTTTTAGATGCTTCATATACTTGATGGGCTAACTATTGACCTATACATTTTAAAGGGATGAAAATTGTTGACAACCAAAAAATACATGGTTTCATATTATAGGTAATTTAGCTAACAATTTATTAATAATTCTTCAATTAAAAAAATATATATTCATTTTATTCAACAGATTTAATTAACAAACGCAACAAAAGGAAAATAACTACATAACACAATAAGACAAAATGTTATAGAGATCACAGAAGTTTACAAAAATATACTAAATAAATATAAACATAAATAAAAAACAATTGTCACATTTACATAAATAGTGTAATACATTTTCATAAAATCAATTTAAATTCAATAGTTAACAAATTTAAAATAAATAATCATATAACCAGTAAAAATATTATTTTTCACACCAGTTGAAATACAAATTAATAATTCATAAGTAGTAAGAATATTATACATCAAACAGTTTTTTGTGATTTCTTTATTTCTTGTTTAAAGTAGTTAATTGTCATTTTTAAACCTTCTTTCAAGCCCACCTGTAAAATATAAACATAATGTAAATTATAGTGAATACAATTGGCATTTTAAATATAATGAATGGCAATAAATCAAATCAAAGGATAAAAATATATACTAAAATATAGGTAAGCAATGCTCATTTGACATAAATAATTCATATAAAGATCATTTTAAGATGTGTGATTACTTTTTTACCATAATGAAATTCAAATTGACAAGTGTACGCTATACATACAGAGTAAATATGTGCTTTTGTATGTAAAAACATACAAATGTGTAACTACTCTATTTAGTTATGTAAATTAAAACCGGGAGTACAAAAAAGAATAATATATTATATACAATTGTTTACTTATTTATTTTAAATAGTTGATCAACATTTTTAGTAAGGTTAATAGGAAAATAGTTTATCGGAATATTTATGACCTCAGTCTAGCACTTCTGGAGTCATCGGTTAAATCATAAAGAAAAAGGTTTAAAGTTGGTTATTAAAACAAATTAAGTTTTAGTTTATATTATATGAAATAGTAATAGTAATTTATTAATATACATTAAGATCAATATAAAAATCCATGTGCATTATAATTTATTTTATATAAATATATATTTTTTTAGAACTAAGTACAAAAGTACTATATTATATACCTTAGGCTTCCAATTTAAGTAAGTCATTGCTCGGGTAATATCTGGTTTTCTTCTTTGTGGGTCATCTTCAACAGCTGGCGTTGTGATAACTTTACTTTTTCCACCAACCAACCCTTTAATTATTACAGCAAATTCTGTAACAAATACATACTATATTATTTATCAATTATCAACATTCAACTGTAAATTGTTTCAAAAAATAAAAACATAGTTTAAGAATTAAGAATCGTTATTTAATTACATATTTTACATTGATATGCCTGCACAAAATATCAAAAAATGCAAAAATATTAATTGACTTAATAACCTAGATTCTATTTTTTTAAATATACATGAATTAATAGACACATATTTGGATTTAATGGACACATATATATTATTTATACTTATATTTATTTTTATCTTGCATAGATTAAAAATCATAAAATATTGAAAATATGCTTTGGACATGTAATGAAATTAGTTTCTGAACAACTGCATTCATTTAATATTTTTTTGTAAAAATAATAGTAACTGTAAGTAAAACTTACCGTTAATAGTATGTTCAGTTGGATTTCCAAGGTTGACTGGCTGTGTATAATTAGAATCCATTAAGGCAATCAATCCATTTACTAAATCAGAAACATATTGAAATGAACGTGTTTGATTACCTCTACCATATACCTACAAAAAAAATTAAAATTGGAAAAATAATATACAATTAGTTAGAACATATTATATAATATTGTATTTCTTACAGTAATTGGCTCATTTCGGAGAGCCTGTAATATAAAGTTGGACACTACTCGTCCGTCATTCATATGCATTCGAGGTCCATGAGTATTAAATATTCTGGCAACACGAACAGATACTTTTTCATGCTTTGCATATGCATAACTCAATGTTTCTGAAACTCTTTTACCTTCATCATAACAAGCGCGTGGACCTAAATCAAACAACATTAATTATAGTTATACTTAAGCTTAAAACTTCATGGTTAAATACAATATTTAAAATTATTAATCAGTTCAAAACTAAATAAAAAGTGAGATTTATATTTTAAAAGTATTAACATAAAATATACACAACAATTGTTTGAAAAGCTTCACAATATGAAAAAAACAAAAATACTAATATTATGTGTTAACTGTCAAATATAAATTGTTATAAGATTCTGCCAAATAAATATGCAAACAGCAAACACATTTAGTAACAATCATATCATAAAAATAACTATAGAATATTGAATACACACCAATTGGATTGACATGCCCCCAATAAGTTTCTGGTTGTGGGTGTACTTCAGGATCACCATAGACTTCAGAAGTGCTTGCAATTAAAACTTTGGCACCTACTCGCTTTGCCAGTCCTGAAAAACAATTATACATGGAATAATTTAGAACAATACATTTTTCAATGTTTTCCCACTTAACTGATTATTAAAATGCATATATTTATTTTTAACTGATAATCATACAAAATTAAGATTGCTAAGATACATAAGTAATTAGCTAACAAAAAATCTATAGAAAACATAAACAAAAAGCTATCTTATATACAAATTTGATGTCCATTTGATACGCATAATGCCTTTAAGGTTGTTTTCTAGGAGAAACAGCATTATTAAAGATAATTTTGTTATTGTGCTATGATTATTAATTGCAGTGACATGGGACCAATTGAGAAAATATACATGTGTTTTGATTTGTATTTTGTATTCTTTAGGTCACATTACACCTTCAAGTGTTTTCCCTATTCAAGAAAACTAAAAACCTAACAAATTTGAATTCAGCAGTTCCAATTTTGTGTTGATGGTTTTAATATTTGAATGAATTGATCAATTATAAAATTTAAAGGTAGGAAAATTTTATTTTTTAACATATTAAAATTTTGAAATATCAGTCTCCAGCTGAACAAATCAAAATATTGTAAAGAACTAACATGAGAACACATAGAATGTTCTTCTACATAATGCCAACAACACAACATTGTAATAGCTGAATGCAAATCTGTATGCTATATGTTTTTTGGTATTCTCTTAATATTAAATTTCAATTTTCTACAAAATCACTTCTAATTTTTAATTATTGAAACAAAATAACCAAGAAGCATCTAATACATTGTATTTTTTTAAACTTTATTAATATTCACAAATGATTTTTTTGCAGCTGTTGGTCTTTTTTTACTCTAGATTATAGAATGTTTTTTTTTTTACAAACCTAACATATTAATTGTTCCTATTGTATTAGTCTTAATTGTTTTTACTGGGTTGAACATGTAATGTGGAGGCGATGCAGGTGAAGCTAAATGATAAATCTCATCTACTTCAACAAATAGAGGATTGACTATATCTTGATGAATTAACTCAAAGTTAGCATGACCAATCCATTGTTCAACATTTGCTTTCACTCCAGTGAAAAAATTATCTACAACAGTAATGTCATGACCGGCTTTCATCAATTTATCAACTAAATGAGATCCAACAAAACCAGCACCACCAGTAACCTGGAAAATAGTAACATAATACAATTTTAAAGTAGGTTAAGTTTTATACAAATCATAAGAAAATAAAGTTTTAATATTTAATAGTTTTTATTACTTTTAATTTTTATCACTTTACCCCCAATTTTAACTTTCTACATATTAAATTAATTTTTTAAAACCCCAGCAATATGGTCCATTCAATATTGGTTGTTTAATGATTATATTAAAATCACAGATAAACTAGATAATCTATAGAATATTATTTCAATAGTATTAAGTATATATAATTTGTATTTGTAATATACAAACAGAAGGCTATACAAAAGAGATAGAGTTTAATATGGTATCACTGGATTCTTAAATTGAACATTTAAACTATAAATTTAGACATGAGTAATTTTTTTTTCATCTTACCAGAATACGTTTTTTTGAACGATAGTTTAAATATTTGACATTTGGATAAGGCTTTTTGATACGTTCTTCAAACCCTTGCATCTTGTTTTCAAGTTGTTCTATTTTCTCATTTGCGGAAGCAAGGTCCCTTTTCAGCTTATTAATAAGATCTGTATTGTGTTCAGATTCAGCAGTTCCAAAAAGCTGAAACTCTCTTTTGTTTGATACTTGAAATTCATGTTTTGGGATACCATTATTTGATACAAAGCAATAGATAATTCCTAAAATAATAACCATAATAATACATTACATACTTTCAGCATTTAATTGAACTAGATAGGTGTTTAAATGTGGTTTTCTATAAATCGGTAGTACCTACATATGCTATATAAATAATACATTAATAAGATGACAAAACAAGTTTATTTTGTTACAACATAAATCTATATAAATTCTGAATTAAATTTTGACAAATGTATCGAAACCAAAAGGTAATCAACTGCAATTAGCAGTATAAAAAAAACGGATAACCCACATATAAGTAATAATTTAACATTACTTTTACTCAAGACTGTTGTTAAAATTGTAATTTAAATAAGTAAAACTAACATCATATGCTATCAATAATAAATGTATCATCAATGCAAATAGGNACAAGCATATACACCTGTCACCTGTACAATGTACAATGTTTCTTACCAATCCGCATCTATAATTTTGTACACTGGTACAGTATAGTTTTCTTGCATACGCCAGTCGCCGATGAGTTGTTTAACTGTACGAGTCGTGAAAATGTCAAATAACTAATATTTCATTCCAAATATTCAATGATACAATAGATATAATATAAGCGAGTACCTAATTACAAAAGAAAAAGAAAAATTGTAATTTTCACTTCAAACGATAGCATGCTCTCAAAAGAGTAAAAGAGTGAGGGACCAAGGACCTAAGTTTTTGCTTATAATAGTGAAGCAGTCAAAAATGAAAAACAACAACAACTAAACATTTTTCATAATTATTGTTATTTGTCACACCAAAATTTGATTAAGATGCATAATATGAATCAGACTTACCCAACAAAATCAGGCTACTGCCTATTAACAATGCCAGGAAAACATTTATGCGGATCAACATTTGATGTCTGTACTTGAACAGGTCCGATAGGAACATAATGATATTATAAACATTGTTGGTAATCGAAAGTTTAATGAATAAATTTCGTTCTCGTAATCGCAAGCAAATAAATAGCGTGGGGGGGACGGTGTGACAGAATGAACGACGGCGGCCGACGAAATATTATTATAATAATTAATTATCATTCACATTTTTTTATTTGTCATCCATCGACAACTGTCAAGCTATCATAAACTTTGAACTACCTAAAGTTATTACTTATTAGGCAGGCTTTAATGCACTGTTAACACTTGTGAAATATTATTATACGTTTTGTGGTAATGCGGTTTATAAATAATATTAATAATATATTGAAACTGATTTAATTTTCATTATAATTTATTAATTATTATTGCCATAGTCAAACCGACGACGTGCAAAACATATGTCTGGCGGGTGAAATGATAATTGATAACCGGTCAGAGATAGCCGAGGTGATATCTCTTATCTACTATTATATTTTGTTATGGTACCTTATTTTTGTTGTGTAACCGGAAGCTGCCACATAGGGGTGCACAACTTTCGACTTGACCAGTTGATCCTTAAAATCTAGTACC